GGAGTTTAGGGTTTAGGGTTTGTTCAGGGTTTGGGGTTTGAAGTGTTCTTTTTTTGGGGTTTAGGGTTTAGGGCTAAGGGCTTAGGATGAATGTTAAGTTAAGTGCTCCCAGAGACAGGGGTTTGAAGTTTAGGGTTTAGGATTTACGGCTACGTAATGGTTTAGGATTTAAGGTTTATGAGTATGTTTAGCCCTATATATGGGTAGTTCTCTAAATTGGGGTCACTTCTAGGTCCCCAAAATAGGACGGCACCCTTTGCGTTTGGGGTTTAGGGTTTAGGGGTTTGGGGTTTAGGGTTTCGGGTTTCGCGTTTCGGGTTTAGGGTTTGGGGTTTAGGGTTTAGGGTCTAGGGTTTAGGGTTTCGGGGTTTGGGGTTTAGGGTCTGGGGTTTAGGGTCTAGGGTTTAGGTTTTAGGGTTTCGGGTTTTGGGGTTTAGGGTTTAGGGTTTAGGGTCCAGGGTCTGGAGTTTAGGGTTTCGGGTTTAGGGGTTTGGGGTTTAGGGTTTCGGGTTTAGGGGTTTCGGGTTTAGGGGTTTGGGGTTTAGGGTCTGGGGTTTCGGGTTTAGGGTTTAGGGTCCCCTGAATGCTGAACCGGATTCTGTGCCCCTCAACAGGTGGCGGTGACGGGCTCTGCTGCCTCGGGGTGAGCCGGGAAGTGTCAGGGGTCAGGGTTTAGAGCCTGTCAGTATAGGGAAGTAGTGTTCAAGGACATCGCCAAACCCTAAACCCACTAAGCCTCAATCCCCAAACCCCCTAAAAAAAGCCTTTGCACTAAACCCAACCTAAACCTTTTGGGCGGAGGCTTTGAATGAGCTTCCGCCTGATCATGGGATGTCTCGCTGGCAGATCCCAACGTTTTTTTGGGATGTTTTCTGTGCCCTTCCCAGCCGCCAAGCGCTGGACACGGACGTGAGAATCCTGAAGGGATTCTGGCAAGGGGAGTTTCAGAAACGAGGGGGACCTGGTAGTTGTACCTAAACCCTAAACCCTAAACCCTAAACCCTAGTAATTGTACCCTTCTGGTAGGGTGTTGTCCGAGTTTCACACAGGGCCTTACAAGGAAGTTTGGGAAAAGAGGGGACTCTAACCGCTGTAGATTGTTTTTTTTTTAAAGGGCCGGTTGAAGTTTCGTAGGGCAGAAAGACGGAACGTGGCCTGCTGCTATGAGCCTACATGCCAAACCCTAAACCCTAAACCGGACCTCCAGAAAAAGGGGCCCCCAGTTTTTCACACACCCC